ATGCTGATTTTTGCATCTCATGCAAGAGGTCTCTTTCTGTCTGTAGTGTACACTTTAAATTTAATGTCCTTTACTGAATGTTTACTGGTGACAGCTATTTCCAATTTTGGTTTGTCTTTTAAATGTTTTTCCTTGAAGGATGTTTTTACTGGTTTTATTTTGTTTTGATCGACATTTATTTTCTCTCAGCATACTTAAAATAGTCTGACTTCTAATTTCCATTGTTACTGATAACAAGTCAGCTGTGTATAACTGATTTTCTTCTTTTGATTACTTTTATTCAGTTTTTAACTTACTTATGCATACAAGAACTGTGGTGTAGAGCTGTGGGAGTAGAGAGGGGGGAGCAGAACAGGCAGATGAAATACACTATAGTGTATTTCACTGTAGAAATACAGTGTAGTGAAATACACTGCTGCGGAGAGCAGCGGGCAGGTCAGGAGAGGTCTGCCATGCCATGTGGGTCAGCTCCCTGGCTGAGAATCGAACTCATGCTGCATTGGCTGCAAATTGCTTGGCGTGCTGCACTTTAACCCATTGTGCCACCAGGTAGTGCCCTCTTTTGATTACTTTTAAACCCTTGATCCCCAACCTTTTAACAGGGTCACAGTTTTGTGTGTTATTTTCATTGTAGGACACACAGGTGTGGATTTCTTTTTATTTGTGTTGCTCAGAATTTGATTCTATATTTGGAAATTGGTTTGGATTGCAAATCTTTCAATTTTATAGAATAGAATATTTTTAGAATATTACTGAATGAATGTTTCTCTCAGTTCTTACCTGTCATATTAGCCTAGTTCTTTCTGTTTTCTGTTCTCTGTTCTCTTATTGTAGGACTCCAGTTAAACTTATCTAAGTTCTCCATTTGATGGACAGTGATTATTTTCTGGTTAGAAGTTTGTTTTAATGCAACACTGTCAGTTTTTTCACTTTGAAAATTATGTAGCTTTATTGGGTTACCTGAGCTGTTTATTAATTGACTTTAAGGTTATAAAGACCCTCCGTGGTGACACCGGGGGTTAAAGCTCTGGACTATGAAGCTTTCCTCAGCCACTGCAGCCTGAGTTTGATCCCCGGCCAGGAAGGTACCCATATGGTACAGCAGACCTCTTCCGATCTGCCTGCTGCTCCTGTCAGGAGTATATTTCAGCACATCTGCCTGTCCTACTCCCCACTCTGTTTCTGGTGAAACTTCTCACCCCCATGCACCTTTGGCCCATACCCTAGTTCTTGTGTGCATAAATAAATCTTAAAAAAAAATAGTTATAAAAATAAAGGCAGGTATGACTTTCATTTCAGTCACTAACTATTTTGCTTTACCTCTATGTATTCCCTGCTTTAATGTATTGTCAACTTAAGTAAAATGAAAAGTCTGCTTCTGATTTTGAGCACATTTTAAAATTTCTTGCTTTTGGGTGATCTTTCTCATACTCAAACTTCAAAAGGACCACCTTCTTCTCTGCATTTGTTAAGGGCCTGACTTCATATCTTTACCTGAATGGCTACTTTTACTACTTAAATCCCTATTTTAGCAAGTTTGTTCACTATACCATAAATTGATAAGCACCTTAATGATTAATAGTTTTATTCTACTTTCTTATTTACAATTTGCCCTCACATCTGTTTTCTTCTTTGTTCAAAATAAGAAATGTAAATGTGACTTAAAAGGAAATATATTTCATTTGTTTTCATTTCTTCAAATCAACAAAAGAAAAACTCTATAAACATATTTAATCCATAGGATGGCCTTCATTTAATGTACTTTCTTTTTTATAGATAGTTAAAACTGAATAGAAATCCTTTGTAATTCTGTGGTAATTCAATTGCATGCCTAATTGTTACTAAATTCCTCATGGTTACTAAATTCCTCATTGTTACTAAATTCCTACAGCCTTGAAATAAGGCTGTAGATGTGTCCCAAGTCTTTTTAATTAAATACAAAATTAATAACCCTTCATTTTCTGGAGAGTTGTTCAAATTGTTCTATAATTTTAGCAGGAGCCCAATTATATTTTTTAATAGTTGCCACTAAGGTTTACATAGCGTTATTGTTTTAAATTGTGCTTTTAAAATTTCGTGTCTCATGGTACACGATGTTCAATACAATTCAAATTTAAAATTTAAAATACCCTTAATCAGAAAGATTTGATAAACCTTATTATAAAGTGATTGTGGCAGTTGTATTCTGCATTTCGTTAGGGAGGTATGAATGTGACTAAGTTCCTGTGGTTTTAAGCAGTTTGTCACTAGAAGTTGAATATTAAGAGAGAACAACATTTCTATGCAATTCAGCAATTTATATGTACCCTTTTAACTTGTTACTGAGTTTTGCTACTGAGCTCTAAGCAAGATGCTGTGACTAATCAATGGAAATTCTAGTACCTGCTAGGGTAATATATTTTCATGGCCCAGCATTTCATTAAGAGTTCCCTTCATTAAGAGTTCTGTGTGAGGAACATTTCACCCCACCCTTTACCTTCAGAATCCAGAAACCAACTTAGATTCTCATTTTCTCTTTTAGCTAAAGTTCATGTCAGTAACTTGAACTCAGTCAGATAAATGCATCCACTTAAATTCTAATCAAAATCTAATACACAAATAAGCAAGGAATTTTTTTTCTTTATTGAGGTACATTGGGTTACAGCTCTGTATATGATTTAAAGGCATGTTCACACCAACCCAACCATCAAAGCACCTACAGTCCAGTAGCTATGCTGTTGGGTTCCCTTCCCCGTTTGTCCCCAGTCCCCTGTGGGCTCAATTCTGCAGCCATTTCAAGGATTTGTTATGGCACTTCCTTTTTTCCTTTTTTGCTGTATTCCCGTAAGTGAAATCATCTGTTATTTGTCTTCTACTTATTTTGCTTAATCCCCTTTGGTTCCATCCATGTTGTAACACATGACAAGAGGTCATCTTTTTTTACAGCTCAGTACTCAGTACTATTCCATTGTGAAAATATACCACATTTTCCTTTTTTGTGTATAAAAGCTGGGGTACATGCCAGAGGTGTGGTGGGGGAGCAGGGTGAGAGGATTCACCAGAGACAGAATGGGGAGCAGAACATGTGGATCTACTGAAATACACTGCTGAGGGGAACAGCAGGTGAGAAAGGAGAGGTCTTCTGTGCCATATTTATATCATATTTTCTTAATCTACTGTTCTGTTGGTGGGTATTGTTTGCATAACATGCTACTTTTTCTTCAGTGGTCATTTCAACAGCAGTATCCAGGGGTAGCCATAGACTGGTTCTGTTGCCGTATGACTGATTTGAGTTGTGATTCCATCTGCCCACTTCCCCAAGCTGATTGTTCCACCTTTGCCAAACCTAGAGAATTCAGTAAGGTTTAATTAGCCTGTGAGTATTCAAGTTAATTATAACTAGGAATCCTGACTAATACTCTACAGGCAGTTTTTTTTTGGTTTGTTACTAATGGAGTCTCTTTGACATGGTTCATTGTGGTTACTTCAAATCTCTCCCCATTTCATTTATTGTATTTGTGTATTTGGGTAAGTGACAACCTTGCTAATACCTCACAAAAGTGATACAGAATTATATAAGATAATGTACCTATCCTGGTCTTGGCAGGGTAGTTATTAAAATTCTTTATTCATAACACTTCCCCTTCTCTAGCAAACTATATAATTTACTTGTTTATAGGTTTTGTCTCTCTCCCAGTAGAAATAAGGACAGGGATCTATTTCTGTGGGTCTAGAATAGTGCCTGGCATATAGTAGACACACTATCTTTGTTAAATAAATAAATAAATGAAGCTGAACTTAACAAACTTGCCTTATGAAGAGGTCTGTGCTCATCACTACACAAATAAAATTAAAAAAAAAAAAGTTCAGTTATGGCTCCCAACATCTCCTTCAGGCTCCAGACATCTACCACCCATTCTTGTCTTCAACATTTCTATTTCATCTCAGAGAGAGCACTCCACTCCTCTTTTCAGAGATTAACCTTCTCACTATGTCCTGAATTCTCTCTCCTCCCTCCTCTCCCAGGAGGACCAGGATAACTTTGATCAGTCTTACTTCTTGCCATTCCTTCTTGTCATGTGTTTCTTCCTACCCAATCCTTTCCTCCAGCTTACAGTTAAGTACTTGACCTAGTATTTAGAACAAACTTAATTTTACACTGAAAATCTTTAAATCGCATATCCTTTCTCTTTTCTTTACCACCAAGTGTCTTGAAAGAAAAAAAATTTTATTAGTCTTGTTTTTCTAATTCCTTAGTTCTGTGACTCTGCCCCTTTCAACTACCTTTCCATATTCCACTACTGAAATTATTTTGGCAAAATTTTTGTGATATATTTACCAAATTTAATAATCTTTAGTCAGCCATCATCATATTTAATTTTTCCATGGAATTTACTTTTCTTTCCACATATTAATCTTAATTGGACGTGTACTCAGCACCCTCCATTCTACTACCAGTGAGGGTATAAAATGCAAGACTTCTGGTTATATTTACAATTTTTTTTTTTATTAAACTGGAAGAATTTATGAAGGTTGAAATATCTGGACCCTGCCACTTTGTGTTTCTTCTGGATTCCCTACCAGTACCATTTGGGTACATATCTGATAAGGAGAAGGAGGGTTTTTCCTAATTTGAACCAGAGAGTCACATCTTTTAAGTTAATAAAAAAGAAGAGTTGGACTCTTTTAACATTTTAAATAGTGTTCACTAACTTAGAAATTTTTAATTAAGTCAGATGGAATATGGTATTTTGAAAGGAAAAATATTTGTTCATTTTAACCTCTAAAATTATAAATGCTACTTTTTTAAGTCTTTGATTATTGGAATTATTAATCATGGCATTAGTATGGTGATTATAGTTTTGCTATTTAAATAGATGTTGTGACCTTAATGCACTTCTTTTTTTTTAAATTTCTTTTAATTGTGGTAGCATTCATATTCTCTCCGTCAAGTATTGTAATATGGCTTTTACAGCATTAGCACTCATTAGATTTTTAATGCTCATTTGGTTTTCTTTTAGGAAGATTTGGAGACTGGAGTTCACCTTGATCCTGCTATTAAAGAGGTTCAGTATAATCCAACATATGAAACCATGTTTGCTCCTGAGGTAGGAAAACACACTGCTTAAGATTCTGCTTTCTGCTAAAGTATTTTTATATGTGGTAGATAAACAGTAGGTAAATTTATTTTACGTTTGTGCATTTGCTAGGTATTTTAATTTTTTTTGTTTGTTTTTATAGCACAGTCTATTTATATCTAAAGCAGAGAGTCACAAAATTGTTTCCCAGTATTGATCAGCTTAGGTTCCCATGGACATATAAAATACAGCTATTGAGATGTGTCCTCAGCCAAGAGTGCAAGTGCTTATCCTAGTCTCACCTTCTCTTCCTGTGCTCAGGGGAAAGTAGTCAGGAATTTTATCCTTGTGCTCTGAAGTTGGCATATTCTTAAATTTTATCCTCTTAACTTTTTAAATCCTTGGAGCCTATCAAGATTTACATATCCCTCGGAACCATCTTAGCCAGCCCATTAAAGAGAGATTGTTACATGTATGTTTCATGATTTTTTTTTTGATGAAATGTGCTACACTAAAATACAGACATTGAAATGAGAAAGTGAGAAAATGTGGTAGTGTGGTATATGACATTCCTATTCAGTGCATTTTTTTGTAAAGTCTGTTTGTCTCATATTTTTTGATCTTATGCCTAATATGGTGCTGCATAAATTATGCTCTTGCTGAGGGACAGGCCTATTATTTTCTTTGGGGTCTGGGATGATCTGCTCCTTTTTTTTTAAAGAAAGTCGTATATATAGAAAGCAATATGTTGGCAATATATTGTTACTGGTTGTCAACATTTTAAGAGTGAAACTGAAAAATTACAATTTTTCCTGGTTGCCAAATATGTGTGACATAAAAAATCATTAAACTTTCAATTTATAACTAGGATCTATAGAAGTTGGCAGTCTGGAAAAGAACTGCTATATGAAATTTAAGTTCCATATTTTGAGAATCCACTTAGAAACCAGATATAATCCTCCTCAAGATAGTAGATACCAAAGATAATATGCAAGTGTTTTTAGAAAAAACAGGGACCAGACTATTTCCTATAATGCCTTTAAAATACTATTCAAATTTAAAGAGAGGTAATAGCTGCTTGTTAAGATAAGAAAAAATTCCATGAATTCAGTCATAGTTGAAATGTACAATGGAATTCAATTTAAGAACTTGAGATTTGTAAATGGATTGCTTATTAACTCTGGCATGACCTAGGTTATCTTAGTTTTTACATATTGAAATAAGGTAATTTCTACTTCAGTGAGTTAAAAGGGTAAGTGGAATAACACATGATGTGTTTAGGAAACTCTGGACAATAAATTTTTTTTAAAGATTTATTTATGTATCCAGATTGGGATACAGGCCAGAGGTGCAGGGCCGGTGAGAGGCTTTACCAGGGTCAGAGTGGGGAGCAGAGAAGGCAGGCTGACGAAATACATTCTGAGAGGAGCAGTGGGCAAGACAGGAGAGGTCGGCTGTACCCTATGGATCACCTTCTGGGTGGGACCGAGATCGAACTCACCCACATTGAAGCTGAAGTGGCTCACAAGCATCCTAACCTGGTGCACTACCAGGGAGGGCCCAATAAGTGAGCATTTAATGGAAAATTAATAGGCTTTTATGAGGAAAGATCCCAGGCAGAAGGCATCAGTGCCAGTTAAATCATAAAAGTTCTACAAAACTAGTGTGTAGGGGAGAGAAGGGAGGTAAGAGTGGAATGGTATTTTATAATATTGTGCAATGGTAGGGGCCAATGTGAAGGATTTGGTTTTGATTTAATAGATGATAAAAAGATTTCCAAGGTTCTTTAATGGGGAAGTGGCATAATCACAGCTAAATTTTTAGAAATTCAGGAATTTGATATGAGTTTGCATAATGGAAAAGTACAGGAGTAAAATCAAAAGAAGTAAAGTTACCATTATTGGGTGCCAGATACAACACTGAGAGATTTATCTACCATTTATCTGCTTTAGTCTTCACTGTTGTGCTATAAAGCAAGTACTCTTCTCCATATTTTATTTTATAGCAAGGAAACTGAGTCTCAGATTATATGGCCAGCTCGTGGTGTATCTGGGGATTTGAGTCCATCCAGATCACTCAACAGTCACTCTAGTACTGGAATGTCAGTTTTAAGGCCAATGTAGAGTCTGCAGAGTCTGCCTCATGCCTTTGACTTTACTTACTCAGTAAAGTGATTTGGGTATTTTACCTGATAAAATATTGTTTCTCCCTCCCAACCAAAAGCTTTTGCTAAATAAGTCATCTAGCTGATTATACAGCAAAACTTTCTCCAATTATATATAGAAACTGAAGATGCCATTATTTTAGACTATTATTTTAGTCTAGTCATTTTCTTTCTTTCAATCCTTGTTAGATCTGCTTAGATAAAAATGTTACTTCTCTAAGTGCATATAAAACCCATAAGCCCTCAGAGAAAACTTAAAATAATAGTACTTTTAAGAACAAAAAATATATAAATGTTGAGGGGGAAATGCCAGTTACCATTAAAAATCTGACTGTAAGAGCTGCTATAAATATGATTAGAACGAACTTTATAAAATCATATAGCTCATTTTTTTTCTAAATGAGGAAACTTAGACCCAACTTCATATAGTCAGCACTATTAAAATATTATCACATTAGTAATAATTAAAGTATGTTTTTATAAGATCAATGTAGTCTACCAATAAAATTGAACTATTTAGAGATCTTTTCCAAATTTGTAGAAAATAATTGTTCAATATATTTGTCTCACCTTATAGTTCATTTATAAATGTTTTAAACATTGATGGCTGTACTAAATATTAATGAAAAACAACAATCTAAGTATAATAGGATTTTTACTTCAATAACTTGGAGTTATTCTATATATGAACTTATGGTTATAATTTCATGTAATCATTTTTTTCTATAAATTTTCTTAATTGTAATGCTGTGATATTCTGCTGAGACACTGTACTTATTGAAAACTTGACCACTGCTTTCCAATATGCATATCTCATAAATGTACCAACCAGTATTTTAACAATTAAAAATGCTTTTCTTCCAACTCTATGCACAAATCACTGTTTTCCTCAGGTGAAAATGTAAGGTTACTTGTTACCACTCTCTCTCAGGACCATTATACTTTGTTTTTGATGCAGTCATCTGAATTAATAGTTAAATGTGTATGTTTTATATAGGGAGGTTAAATTCTAATTGACTATGGTATACTTCAAGCTGTTAGCTGAAAATTATTAGATGTTAACTAAAAAGTGGTATTTATACCTAGTTATCCTATGTGTTTAAAGTCACTTGAATACAGATTTACTCCTAAACTTAGGTGACTACAAAAAAAATTGTAAAGAAATATTCAGAAACCAGTTTTGTGAGTTTTTTTTTTTAATGGCTTACGCATGATTAATAGAGATGGCATATTCACAGAGACCAGGGAAATCAGGAAGACAATATTTTGAATAATTTGGGAGAGATGAATCCTTCTGAATAACATACTCTACCTTTCTCTGTTGACATTTAATGTCATTGAGTTCAGTGTTCTGATAGCTGCCAGTAATCAAGCTGTTAAGCTGAGCCAAAAATAAACGAATCTTCTCTTCACACAAAAATCTTTTATCATTAGAAGATTTGTTGTTATCTCAAATATCTGTTAAATGTAAGCACATATAGGAATAGTGTACTATGTACAATGTATTTACTATCATTTGTGCATATGTGGTCCTATAGAAATACAGTTCTTTAACACTGAGTATTTTTCATCAAAAGACAGGCCCAGTTTATATAGATGGCCTGTAGAAAAATTGTTTTCTTTGTAAAATTTTAATAAGACTATAAAAATTATAACTTATTGTTTTAAATTGGAACCTATAAGTACGACTGGTAATTTATGTTACTAGAATTGTAATAAAGGCAATGAAGACATTTCTTTTTTAAAATTTTTCTCTCAAAAAGTATCAGCAACGCCTGTACAGATGGTAACTAGGAAACTTTTAAATCATTTTATTATCTTTGATTTTTATGAATGCTCTTTGTTTTTGTTAAAAATTTCTTGACTGAATGAAATGAAATGTAACTTTTAGCATTCAGCAATCTAGATATTTTTTACTACATTCCAGCCACCAGCAATGAAGAAACTAATATGTGCTACAAAGATTTGTAGTATTCCTTGTTTAAGATAAATAGTAATAAAAACTGTATACACCAGATATTTTAAGATTGAGTCATTTTAAACACAGAAATTGAAGCTGTCAATAGAAAGCAATAGTGTAGTAATTTACTTTCTTGTTAAGTAGAAAATATTATAAGGCAACTCTAATATCATTTAAATTCATATTATCATGCATAGTATAATATTTCAATCTAGGCAGGATTGTGGTTTCAAGCAGATCAATAATTTATATTTATGGCTCTGAAAATGTATCACAGAAAAGGTGGTTTCTGATGGTAGTGATCTAAGATGTTCTAATGTCAAAATATTTTACCATAACAAGTAGATTTCCCTGGGTTCGAATGAAAGTGTCCAGGCTAATTCTAGCATTTCCAAAGTGAGGAGTTCATTGCATTTTAAAAGGAAAGAGGTGAATTTCCCCAATTATTTTATAATAGCTTTAAGTTAATAGCACTTAATATATTCTCAAACATTTCACCCAGTTTTTTATAGAGAAGGTCCAAGTAAGTTTAAGAATGTTACAATGTAGTAGACTAAAATAGACCAAGGTTTGTTCTAGCCTTGGTTCTATTAATCAATAAAATTATTTACTGTAAGGAAGTTAAAATACATCATCTTGGATTTTTTTCCCCTTCATTTCTAAAATGTCTTAACTTTCTAGGAGTTTTGTACAGATCAAATTAAGTAAATCTGCAAAGAAACTTGAAGCATTATAAACAGATAATGATGGTACTGTTTTATGTATGACCTGTCATAGCAGAGAAATTAATTTTTATATATGTCTTTTCATAGGGACTTTTTCAAGCATTTTACATTTATTATCTATTTTCTTATCCTCTGCCCTTGCTGGGATTCTGACTAATCTTTCCTTCCATAGTGCTTTCTATTGCCAGGCAGTATGGTAAGTAATAGGGATTCAGGTTCCAGTGGGAGAGACGTGTTGTTTTTACTTTTTAACTGTATCGTGGGCCATTATTGATGCAGTAATCACCAAAAATTTTCCTAACTGGGGTTTAGATAAAACTGTAGTAAATTCAATTATGTAGAGCCATAGGGTCAAATAGAACTCCTGAGATGATGGAAATGTAGTCGTCAATAAACACATGTAGATGTTAAGTTTTTAAAATGTGGTTATCTGTGAGGAATGAGTATTTCATTGTAATTAAGTTAAACTTAAATAGCAACACTGTAGAATTGTGTAAGATTCCTCTCCTGCCTTAGACACTTACGGTTCTAATCAGTTCCTGTCCAATTGTACTGAATTATGTGGGATATAAGCATGTTCCTAAATACGTTAATTGAGCCTGTGGTGATTTTTTTAGTTGAAATTACATTGTACATTGTATATTATTTTGGTAAGTCTAGCTTTCTACACTCAGAATTTGATGGTTTTGTTTTTTGTTTTATTGTCTTGGTACATTACAGTTTGGACCAGAAAATCCCTTTAGAACACAGCAAATGGCTGCACCTAGAAATATGCTTTCAGGATATGCTGAACCAGCTCATATCAATGATTTTATGTTTGAACAGCAAAGAAGAACTTTTGCCACATATGGTAAAGTGATAAGACTTACAGTTTCATTTTATGGGAAATGGTGTATAAATCTATTTTATCCTCTGGCTTTTAAAATTTATTATTCTGGATTCCTTCAAGATAGTGTGTGTTATATACATTAGATACAAGTATTTTATAAATAAGAAGGTAAACTAATATTTTTAGCTGTCATTCTAAACTACCTTGATTTCTGAGTTGTAGAAATATTCCGTGTTCTTAAAAACAGAATATTCTCTGTTGTATTTGATAATGAATACTTGTCATTGGATGTCCAGTCTATGCATATTGCTGTTGAAGTTGATAAACAACAGGATAGCATTACAAAGTTCCGTTCTTTTTCTTATCTGCTAGTTGACTTTATTCTTTCTCATATCTTATCACTAAAAGTTTTCTGAGAGACATCAGGAAATAGAATAATAGAACTTCATTGTTCAGAGAACTCCCTCTAAGAGGTTTATTTATAACATCCTTAACAGCTAAAGTTCCATGGATCATGCATTTTGGTCCTTTTTATCAGATTTGTCCATATTTGTTGTGACTTTCCTTTCTATCCCTATAATCTCTATTTGTAGGTTGATAGGTTGATATTGATCACCTTAAACTTTGAAGAACTTTTTGGTAGAGGTGGATGAACAAAGTAAATAGGGATGTTTTTATGCTTGTTGTGATTTTTTTTTAATGAATTAATTGCTTGTGCTGGTGTTCCAAAAGAGTTTTTTTAAAAAGAAAGCTTTGAATTTTTTTGTAATAGTTTTAATAATTACATTGATAGACATTGGCACATTTCTTTTTTCTGAAGTTTTCTTTGCAGTTAGAATTCTAATATCTCCTCTTAATTTTTATAACATTTTTTGAAGTTTGAAATACATTTTTGTTCTATTAACCAATAGCTTCCATTATTATTAAATAGGACCAAAAATATTAAGAAAGTACTATCATGTGAAATTTATGTATATTTGTATTTTAGGCCTGAAATCTCCATGTTAAGTGTGCTTTTTAATAAGTTATTTTCGTGAGGGAAAAAGTTTAAAACATTTAAAGAAGAAGGAAAAGGTTACTTTTAATCCCACTATACAGAATGTCTATTTTAGCATTATGATCTTTATCTTTCCAAGCCTTTTTCATAAGCACATTTGTATTACAGAGCTGTAATCCTACACTGAAAAATTTACATATCATATTTGTATTCAGTGTTCTATCATTGGTATCTTTTAGTGTGCCTTTATAATCTCCAAGACTATCATTTTTAAGGACTCTAATATCACTGATTAGCTATAGCATAATTTATGTAATTACTCTAATGTTGGAAAGTTAACTTTTTTCCTGATTTTTAGTGAGTAATATAAAATAATTCATTGTAAACTAGTTTAGAGGTATACATATAGTCTTACTTATCAGAATATATTCTTGAAAAGTACCATATATTAGAGAATTGCCATATAAAAAGAATTGCTATTTGTTAGATCATCTTTCATCAAGGCCATTTATAGTTGACTTAAGAGTGTGCCAAAAGTCATTGTTAAGTTTGCATGCTTAGTGATGAATCAATATGGTGACAGAGGGTTCCTTGCTTCACTCCCAAGAGGATCATCTAACAGTAAATTAGAGGGATAGTATATCCAAAGAGTCCCTTGGAGTGAAATGGGTAGACCCCTTGGATATTGGAGATCAACAAGAACTATGACACAGACAAGAGACTGCTTCATTTAACTGGGGCTTGAGGGAGAGAATCACCAGGAGACTGTGCTCAGGAGTAGGGGTATATACATCAGCAGACTACAGGAACAGACAGGGATCCTAGGGGGAGAAAAGCTAAATAGTGTGCAACCATCCTTAACTGAAAAGAAGCATCTCAGGGGGAGTTTGGGTGTTTCCTGTATGCTGATTCTCCAGTGAAAAGAACAGGAACAGTGCGCTGGACAGCACTTCCCTTCTCTGACCCTTTGGAACTAATACTGACCACTGAGAGTGCAGAGATTACAGAGTTGCAGGTCTTGAACTCCAGAGAGGGGCAGTACTGACAGTGCTATAAATACAAGGCAGATCCCACCCCCAGAACTTTCTCATTAGTGACTGAATCCCGTTTGCCCCCTTTTCCCACATTCTGACTCAGTACCTCCAAGAAATGTTTTTAAACCTATAGAAGCTGAAACCAGATAAAACCACAGAGCTACCTGCTGGAAAAGTAAAAGAAGTTCTATAAGTTACTGCTATTTTTTTTTTTTTTAATTAGGAAGCAGAATAGAACAGTTAGAATCAGTGACCTTGAAGATAGGAAGAAGGAAGAGAAATATGAAGTAATAATCATTAAAAAACACTTTGAGAACTATCCTGCTTCATTAAGAAGGCAACATAAGGATAATGGGTACCCCAGAGGGGGAAAGGGTAAGATAGAGAGCTTATTCAAGAAATAATACAGAAAACTTCCCAAACCTAGGAACTAAATATAAAAGTCCATGAAGCAGAAGGAACACCTGCATTGAGACCTACTCCAAGACACATAGTAAAATTACCAGGCATACAAGAGAATATTATTGAAAGCAGCGGAGGTAGGGTGGGGAGGGTAGCTGGGAGCAAGTAACTCATGAAGGTACTTCCACCAGGCTTACATTAGACTTCCCAGCAGGAATCCTGCAAGCAAGAAAAAAATGAAATGATATTTTTTATATATTTTTTATAAAGCCAGCAAAGAATACTTTATCTTGGAAAATTTCCTTTCTTAGAGAGAGAAATAAAGGGCTTGGGAGAAAGCCTCCCCAGACCAACATTAGTTGAAGAAGTTTGCAAACACTAGACCTCCCCTATAAGAAATGTTAAAAGAAGCCCTTATATATTAAAAAGAAAATATATCTATTTCCTTCCTTGAGCAAGGAAATAAATGGAACCATAAAACTAAATAGGGCAGTAAAAAAATTCTCATATATCAGTAATCACCCTAAATGTAATCTCACCAATTAAAAGGTACCAGATGGTGGTAGGATCAGAAAACAGAAACCCAAATTTCTGCTGTTTTTAGGAGACCCATCTGAGCTCAAAGATAAACATTAGCTCAAAATCAGTGGCTGGCTAACTTCTACATGAACCTGTACCCGCCCTCCATCCCTCCCAAAGGCAGAGATACCCATATTTATATCAAATAAAATAGACTTTTAGCTTAAAAAGATAGGAGGTACAGATGGAATTATATGATTTAAGGGATCACTAGTAAGACATAACACTACAATATATGTGCACTAAATGAAGGAACAAAGGGAACTTTTATTAACAAACCCAAAACCAGACATTGGCAGCAACACAGTAGTATTTTATCAATACTAATTTTTTAATGACTGAAATGGGTTTGATGTACGTTTACAGGTATTGCACCCAATAAAAGCCAAGTACACTTTCTTCTCAAGTGCACATGGAAAATTCTCAAAAATTCTCAAAAAACCACATGTTAGATCACAAATCAAGTGTGAATAAATTCACAGGTATTGAAATTATATCAAGTATCTTTTCAGATCACAATGGTCTCAAACATAAATGCATCATTTTTTTAAAAAGCCAGAAGAAACTCTGCAATAGAGATTGAACAAAATGACTTTTGTGTTAATGAAGAAATCAAAGAAGAGATTAAAAAATATCTAGAAACAAACAGAAATGAAGACAGACCTACCAATAATCTATAGGACACCTCAAAAGCAGTACTAAAAGGGAAATATTTTGCAAAATAACCCTGCTCATCAGTCAACAAAATGAAGCTCAAATAATTAATATACTCTTCTACCTTAAGCAAGTAGAAGAAGGGGGATAAATCCAAAAGCTAGTAGAAGGAAGGAAGGATTATTAGAGCAGAAATAAACAAAGAAGAAATCAAAGAGGTAATCCAAAAGATCAGTGAAGCCAAAAACTGATTCTTGCTAGACTTAGAAAAATGTGGACAAAACTAGTAAATTAGAATCAGAAATAGAGATGTTACAAAAGACATCTCAAATACAAAAGATCATAAATGACTACTGTGGATCTTTATGCTAATAAAGTAGATAAACCTGTAAGAAGTGGACAGTTTAATGTGAGCATACAGTCATCCAGTGCAACATCAGGAATAAATAGAAAAGTTGAGCAAATCAATTACAAGCAAAGATTGAAAAAATAGTTAAATGCCTCCCAAGAAACAAAAGTCCTAAGACTGGTTGCACTAGTGTGCTCTGCCAGAACTTTAAAGAGGAACTGATACCTGTCCTTTTCAAACTCCTCCAGAATATTGAGGTATCGGGAAGGCTTCCAAATACATTTTAGGAAGCCAGCATTACTGTGATACCAAAGGCAGACAAGGACATCACAGAAAAAGAAAGCCACAGACCAATCTTTCTGATAAACAGATGCAGAAATCCTCGACAAAATCTTAGCAGACTGATTCAGCAATATTCAGCAATACATTCAAAGGATCACACATTGTGACTAAGTAGGATTCATTCCAAAGCTACAAGGATAGTTCAGCATTCATAAAACAATCCATGTCTTTGCTACATGAACAAAAATAGCAATAATAATAGTAATATGATATCAATAGATACAGAGAAAGGATTTGACAAGCTTCAACATCATTTATGATAAAAATCTCAAAAAATAGGGATAGAAGAAACATCTAAGAATAATAAAGGCCATGTATGACAAACCCACAGTTAATATATTCATTGGTGAAAATCTGAAAGGTTTTCCTCTAAGGTCAGGTACTTTCACTGCTACTATTCCACATAATATTGGAAGTGTTAGCTAAAGCAGTTAGGCAAGAAAACGGTACACAGGAATCCAAATTGGGAAAGAAGTAAACTCACTATTTGCAGATGACAAACCTTAAAACCTTAAAAACTTGACTGAAGAAACCGTTAGAAGCAATCAATATAGTAAAGTGGAAGGCTACCAAGTTAATATAAATTTAGTTCCTGCTTTAGCAACAAACCAAAATATAAAGAAAATAATCCTTATGTAATCCCCAAAAACATTACATACTAAGGAGTAACTTAATAGAGATAAAAAGACCTGTGCGGCCCTCCCTTGTGCAGCGGGTTAAAGCACAGCACTGAGAAACTAAAGCCACTTCCGCAAGAGTTCCATCCCTGCCAGCCCGGGAGGTGACCACATGGCGCGGCAGATCTCTCCTGACCTGCCCGCTGCTCCCCTCAGCAGTGTACTTAATCAGTTAGCCTGTTCTGCTCCCCACTGTCTCTGGTGAACCCTCTCACCACCCCTGCACCTCTGGCCTGTACCCCAGTTCTGTATACACAAATAAATAAATCTTTAAAAAAAAAAAAAAAAAGACCTGTGCAATGAAAACTATAAATTGTTAAAGGAAATAGGACACACACAAAACTAGAAAGATGCTCTTAAGTTACAAAAATTAACATTGTTGGCCCTCCCTGGTGGCGCAGCGGGTTAAAGCACAGCACTGAGAATCTAAAGCCACTTCCTCATGAGTTCGATTCCCGCCTGCCCCGGAGGCGACCACATGGCGTGGCAGACCTCTCCTGACCCGCCCGCTGCTCCCCTCAGCAGTGTACTTCGTCGATCTGCCTGTTCTGCTCCCCGCTCTGTCTCTGGTGAATTCTCTCACCCTCCGCATCTCTGACCTGTACCCCAGTTCTGTACAAATAAATAAATAAATCTTTAAAAAAAAAAATTAACATTGTTAAAATACCCATCTTATTCAAAGTAACATCCAGTGACAATGCAATCCCTATCAGAGCTTCATTGCATTCTTCAAAGAAATAGAACAAACATTACTGAAAGTTCTATGGAACAATAAATGACCCCAAATAGCCAAAGCAATCCTAACATAAAAGAAGACAGGTGTCACATTTCCAGACTTCAAGCTATACTACAAATGTGTAGTAATCAAAACAATAGTTTTGAAGAAAAATAGACACACAGGCCAAAAGAATAGAATTGTAACCCAGAAATCAACCCACATTTGTATAGACAGTTAAATCTACAACACAGGAGCCTAAAATATGCATTAGAAAAAGGAAAAGTCTTTCCAACAAATGGAGTTGGGAAACTATTTGCACACATACATCTGACAAAACTAATATCCAAGATCTACTTCAAATAGACCTACAAAGGGAAAATGTAGACATTAACTCTGTTAAAAACCTAAAATGGACAATAAACTTCTGATAGATGAGACTATTTCAGGACTAAAATGCAGATATTATTTGAGATATAAACTAATAGGACTGAAATTCTGTAGTGTTAAAAGTGTTACCATTAGCTGGCTTCTAGTGGGACATATAGCTAAATATTTAACTTATTTGTAAAGGAAATATACTATTATCATTAATTACCTGGGTTGGGAGGCAGCAAGGGTAATAGTAATAGTGGAAGTAAAGATTTTACCAGAGAGGATGGTGTGGAAAGTTCCTCAAGTCGCTGAGTCCCTTTTTCAGGAAAAAGGTGTCAACCACGCATGAGCTGGGCCTAGTGCTCACACAGATGCGGCGAAGAGGAGCAGGGAAACTCTCCCTTTCCTCTCTATTTCCTACTCCATCTTTCCAAAAACATAATTCAATGTCTGTTAGAGACAGAAATATCCTTCAAAGTAGAATTACACTCTAGACAAAATTTTTTGGTAATGATGGAAATTTTTACTTAGGGTGAGTAGGTCTAAATTTTGTATGAGCCTTATAAAGTCTCATTTCATAAAATTACTTGTAGAACACTTTTCTGTACATCACAGAGATGAAAGATAACATAACTTACGGGATTTGAACCTGTTATTTCAGAGCTTCTACTCCAAAGCTGCTTTTCTGCCATCAAGCGCTCTCCTCTGGCTAAGAACATATTTTAACACTGAAAAAAACTATATGCAAATGAGCTAATAGCCAGGTGGTTGATTCTATTCTAGCATATCATAAGGGTGAGTTGAACACCTACATACTAGCTTGTTTGAAAATATGTTTGATAATACGCCCTGTTTTTTGTTCCCCAAAAGTTCTTTAATATTTAGTTGGAAAATTAAAATGTGAACTATATCCACTGGATATACTCTTTTTTTAAAAAAAAAAAAAAAAAAAAGGTCTAGTACTTTATGCCTTCCATGATTAATTCTATGGATCATAGGCAAAGGTTGATTAATGACCTAGCTCTCTGCAGTGAATATGCTCAATTATTATCAAAACTGAGTTTACCAAATATTTCTCATGCTAGTATCCCTAGTTGAAGAAAAACTGATTTGAGTTAATATAGACATTCTTTGTTTACATAGACCACTGAAGACCACATCCATATGTAGCTACATATTCTGTCACTAGTTGAAGGACTATACTTGTGTACTGTTAAATATATCCTTACTTTTCCTAGCAAGGAAAGACAAGTATTCATTTATGAAGTAGAAATATATGCTATTTAATTAGTAGAGAAGAATTTTTATTTAGAATAGCATTTTCAAAATAATCACTGAACTTGATATTCTTTTTAACCCACTTCCTTTTTTAATAGTATTTAATTAATTTAATTTGATAAATCACACCATGTCACCAAAAATAAAGTGGTTTTTAAACTTTGTATAATGTACATATTTTTTGTACATATATTTTTAAGCTCCTAGAAAAGATTGAAGTTTAACATATTGTCCAGAAATATTATCTTAGTAATGTAATGTCAATTTGTTACTGATATTGTATGTCATTCTATAAGATAGTTCTTATTCACCTGAAGTCATTTATGGTTCTGCCTGAGATTTGGGTTAATTATTATAATAGAGGGCTCGGGAAAGAAAGATTGGTACTAAGCTAGAAACTATTTTCAGAATTTAGGAAGGAAAATGTGGAGTGATTATTGTCTGCATAGTAATAAAATAGGTGTAAATGGAAAAAATGGAATCAGTAGTTTGTACTTTTTTTCATAATGATGCACACCTGAAAATTATAATGCAGTATGACTTCAATAAAAAATTCAAATAATGATGATGTGTACTTTTTTCTTTCAGGTTATGCATTAGACCCTTCATTAGATAATCATCAAGTGTCTACTAAATATATTGGCTCTGTAGAAGAAGCTGAAAAAAATCAGGGTAATTATATGAAATATTAAGTATGCACATATATTAATTATGTAATTGTATAAATATTGCATATATAGATATATACACACACCTGTCTTGCAGGTTACTTTATAGAGTAGGAAAACTTATTTCACTAAGTGCATTTATTTTTTAAAGAATAGGGTGATGTATTTTAGAGCAAAATAGACTCAAGCCTGTTTTTACCACTTACTACCTATGCAACCTTTAAAAGGTAGTGATAGGCCCTCCCTGGAGGCGCAGTGGGTTAAAGCACAGCACTAAGAAGCTAAAGCCACTTAAGCATGAGTTTGATCCCCGCCTGCCCCAGAGGAAACCCACATGGCATGGCAGACTTCTCCTGACCTGCCCGCTGCTCCCCTCAGCAGTGTACTTCGTCAGTCAGCCTGTTTTGCTCCCTACTCTGTCTCTGGTGAATCCTCTCACCACCCCTGCCCCTCTGGCCTGTACCCACCTCTGTATGCATAAATAAGTTAATCTTTTAAAAAAAATAAATAAAAGGTAGTGGTACCTGTTGTTTTAGGCTATTATGAATACTTGACATAGTCCCAATCCTGTATAACTCATTCAATAAACTATAAAATGTAGCTAATTTTATATATTTCTCAACACTAATGTCAAACTATATTTTCTCAAAACAGAAAAAATTTTATTCTTTTCTGTGGAAATTATCTTTAAAGGGTTGTTTTCAAGGCTGAGTTTACATACGTGTTTTACCTACATATTTGTCATACTGATTGTTTATTATTACATGACAGTGTCATTCTCTAAATGCTGACCTGTTACATAGCTCATCAGATCATTGGAATTTTATCCATCCGTGTTCATAGGAAAAGCAGTGTACTGGTTATACAAGGACACTTCTGTTTAATAGCTAATAGATCCTATGATCATACTACTTTGGTAAATGATCTACTTTTTTTTTTTCAAGTAGAATTTTAATAAGCTTTTGTTACAACACACAGCCTAAAGGAAACTGATTTATATTAATATAGGTAAGATCATTTCTTTGTTACACCTCTACAAGCCATCACTTTATGTAGCTAGATTTTCAGTTAAGTGCTAAATTGTGACTATGAGTCCCATAAACCTTTCTTTTTCCAATTTAATGACCACACATAATACCTCTTAATGATCAAATCAAAGTGTTACCCAGAAATATCCTCTTTCCTCCTTTTATTTTATTCTTGAGATTTATGAGAGACCAAATTTAAGTTGCATTCACTTAAGAAAAATAACAGATCCGGCCCTCCCTGGTGGCGCAGCGGGTTAAAGCACAGCACTAAGAAGCTTAAGCCACTTCCTCATGAGTTCGATCCCCACCTGTCCCGGAGGTGACCACATGGTGAGGCAGACCTCTCCTGACCCGCCTGCAGCACCCCTCAGCCTGCGGCTCCCCTCAGCGGTGTACTTTGTAGATCTGCCTGTTCTGCTCCCCTCTGTCTCTGGTGAATTCTCTCACCTTCCGCATCTCTGGCCTGTACCCCAGTTCTATATGAATAAATAAATAAATCTTTAAAAAAAAATAATAGCAGATCCCTAGAAAACCTTTAATTTACATTGTTGTATTATAAGTGAACCAAAGATATTATTTTAATCTCATCTAATTCAGTTTTTAAATAATTTTAGCTCTTTTAAAGGTAGCTTTATCATTATTTCACAATATTAAATTTCTGAGTTTCTTTTAAAAACTGGTAAGAATTCCCTAATACTGTGATTCATTATAAAGACCATGTGCCACTGTAGGATTACAGGTCTAAGTCTTACCCCTAATACATTAGAATTAGCATAATATTTCAGTTGTTGAAAGTTTCTTGCCCAGAGTTTGAGTCCCTTTTTGTATAAACTTAGTTGGTATTGCTGCCAGATTTATATATATTTTATTTTGCATTATTAAATATAGATTTATTTATCTATACAGAAGTGGGGTACAGAGGTGCAAGGGCAGTGAGAAGCTTCACCAGAGACAGAGTAGGGAGCAGAACAGGCAGATCAATGAAGTACACTGCTGAGGGGAGTAGCAGGTGGGTCAGGAGAGGTCTGGCTCGCCATGTGCATTGCCTCCGGGGCAGGGATCAAACAGGCACTGAAGCAGCTGTGGCCAGCTTGCACTGTTGCATCCTAACCTGTTGCACCACCCGGGAGTGCCTACTTTGCATTTTTTAATAAATCTTTGGTCACTTGAGCAATAGATATTTAAACATACAAAGTAAATTATATGTATGTCGCTAAAAGGAAAATATCCATGTTTTGATCCCTTTAATTTTTCATTATAGGTTTAACTGTGTTTGAAACTGGTCAGAAGAAAATAGAAAAAAGAAAAAAGTTCAAAGAAAATGATGCATCTAATATTGATGGTTTCTTGGGACCATGGGCAAAATATGTGGATGAAAAAGATGTAGCCAAACCTTCAGAAGTAAGTTTTGATTTTTTCATTCTCAATTCAGGTATATGCTCTCTCTCTCTGAATATCTCTATTAATAAACTTGAGATTTCCTTATACAAGATGACTCATCAAAATTTTTTTTGCCTTGATTAAGAAAACACAATAGTTTCATTTTTGAATATTCTTATTTTTTCTTCCATGCTTTTAAACTAACATATTGAGCAATTTTTAATAAAAATTGCCATGAAGCTACTATTAAGCTATCAAGGTAGCTGCTCTTCTGATAGCAGATAATCAGATAATAATTACAGAATCAGCCTTTCTGTAATTTTTAAATTGATGGGTACGTTTTCTTAATTTATTTGAAATTTTAACAAAGTAATTTATATAGTTTATTTTTAATAATGCTGTAAGACTTATAACATGAAAATATACAACCCACCCTAGCCCTTTCAGCATCCTAATCCTGTTGTCTCTGAACTGGTCATTTTTTGGGGTGCTGTGATTACAGCAGGGGATGAGATCAGGAATAGCCTATCATGAAATTTACCTTCTAGCTATAGCTTACCTCCACGTGTTGATAATATACTTATGCTTCTATTTATTTTAAACATTATATGTTTACTTCTTTGTTATCACAAAATTTACTACGGACCCACCCTCCACCTACTGTTGCTGTTGTAATAGCTGTGTCACAAAAGTAGTCATACTTATATCCCATGACCGCGTAAAAACTATTTCCTGAAGACAACATATGTACTAAAATGCATTTTCCTTTCGGGTACTAAATTTTGTAGCTGCCTTATTCATTTGCAAAGTTAGATTATTTCTAGATGTTCCAGAAAGATGGGTATTTGTAAGAGTTTAAAGGCATTATCCATTACCCATTATGTGTTTGATGCCATTTTTGTAATCTGTCGAGTTATGATTGATATCCTGGGGGACATATGCAACTATTGCTCCACCAAAAGTGTACCTCATCATAAAGAATTTATAACCAGTTTTGGGTATGATGGGGTTGTAGAGCATCCATTTAAGATTTATTCTTTAATTCCCTTAGGAAGAACAGAAAGAACTGGATGAAATCACAGCAAAGAGGCAGAAAAGGGGCAAACTGGAGGATGAGAAACCTGGGGAGGAAAAGACAATCTTACATGGTAGTATAATTTTTATACTTCTTCATTTATTTTTAAGTGTAGAGATCTCATTGGCTTTACGAAACAATTCATAAATCAGGCAATATCCAGGCTAGCAAGTCGGAAGTCTCTGCCTGCTGGTACTGCTTTTTTTGTTGTTGTTGAGAATATTTGCACCTATATTTATCAGAGCGATTGGTCTATAATTTTCTTTTTGTGCTTTCTCTGTTTGTTTTGGGGATCAGGGTAATACTGTCCTCATAGAACACATGGGGAGTTTTCTACCCTTGTCAATTTTGGGGGAGGGGAGGTGATGTAGTAGGATCGGGATTAGGTCTTCTTTATAGGTTTGGTGGAATTCACTGGAGAAGCCATCTGGTCCTGGGCCTTTGTTCTTAGGGAGACGTTATTATTCTTTCAATTTAAGCTTTGTGATTGACTGTTTAAGCTGTATGTTTCATCCAGGTTCAATCTTGAGGTTGTATGAGTCTCAGATTTTGTCCATTTTTTTCTCGGCTAAACACAGAGACCTTTATAATAAGAGGTTCTTACTATATTCCTGTGTATTTCTGTTGTAATTTTGCCTCCTTCATTTCTGGTTTTCTATCTTTGTAAGTGTAGCTAATAGCTTATCAATTTAGTTTATTTTTTCAAAGAAATAACTCAGTTTCACTGATTTTTTTTTTTACTTTTTTCCCATTTCATTTATTTCTGTTTTTATTATTTCTTGGCTTCTACAGGTTTGGGGTGCTCTTTTTGTTCTTTTTCTAATTTAACTGCAGAATTAGATTGTTAAATTGAGATCTTTTGTTGTCTGTTTTTTGTGTGGTCCTGTAGTGCTATAAACTTCCTGTGTAGTATAATATAGCCTTTAAACCTTACATGGAGTCTGGGAGCTTGTCTCTCCATGTCCATTAGTCATATCTTCCTTTATTTCTCCATTGACCAAAATGTTGTTCAGAAACATTTTTGTTTAGTCTCCATATATGTTGGTTTGTTTCACAATTCCTTTAATAGCTAATTCCTAGTTTCTAGCATGGTCCTAGTTTCTTCTATGGTCTGTGAAGATGCTGGATATATTGATAGTTTCTATTTTTACATATTTCTTGAGACTTGTTTTATGTCTTAGAACATGACCTATTCTTGAAAATGTTCCATGTGCACTGGAAAAGAAAGTGTATTCATTATTTTTAGGATGGCAAACTATAAATGTCCAGTAAATACATCTGATCTAATAATTTATTTAAGATGTCTATTTCTTTGTTAATTTTCTATCTGGGTGATCTATCACTTTGTGTCAGTGATGTGTTGAAATCTCCAACAATGATTGTATTTTTTTTGTTGATAGGTTGTTTTAGGTCTATTAGTTGCTTTTATATAACTAGGTGCTCCTATATTTGGAGCATAAATATTAATAAGAGTTACATTTTGCTGGTTGTTCCCTTGATCATTAGCTAGCATCCATCTTTGTCCCTGATTAGTTAGAAGTCTAGCTTAACCGACATGAGATTAGCAGTTCTGTATTACTGAGTTATTAGCATGTATGGCCTTACTCCAACCTATTATTTTAGTTTGTTTTTGTCTTTTGATTTTAAATGAGTCTCTTGTAAACAAAATATTGATGACTGGGCTTCTTCATTATTGTGAAAAACTTTCGGATATTAACTCTGTTATCTTGTTTTGTAATATTAGTTGCCCTTACTAATCAGCTCATGTAATTCATTATAGTAATATTAAAAATTATACTGGACAATTTGTGTCTCAGAAATTACAGCAAACTCTTTTATGTTCTAACAAAAGAGAGAAAATAGCATGATTAGTGATAGCTACAGATAAGTTTTTGAATTGCTTATGAATTTTTTTTAAGTAGGTAGATAAAGAAGAAACCTGAATGGGGCTCCCTTGCACAGTCTCTTCTAAGATAAAGGTGACTCTTTAGTGTGTTAGTAGTGCCCCATTTGTTTCAATCTTTTGTTTTTGACCCATATCAAATACTCTTAGGTGTCCTCACAGTTTATAACTGTTAATAAATTATATTTTAAAAAATAAGCTTTATTTTTCATATGAGTAGAGATTAAGGCACTCATCCTTTGATTTGTAGAAGGAAAAGTATATTCATTAATATTCCTGAATGTACCTTGTTCTTGATAAGTTCTTTTAATTTGTGATTATCTGAAAATGCACATAGTTCATTAATAGTATTGATTAGTCTAAAGTTATAATGCCTGTCAAATATTTAGATTTCATGAGATCATAATTTGGTTTCTCAACCTCTAGTTTTATCTCCAGCTAGTATGTTTAGTCCTGTGGTGTTTGCCAGCCATAACAACCAACACTTTTGGGGTACCTCTGCTCTTCAGGTATACTGATATATGCTTTACATATAGCTATTTAATTTCTAATGTGACTTTATTATAAAATTTGTATTGAATTGGAAAAGAAATGAAGAAAGAATCTGAGAAGGGCATAAAAAAAAAAAGGATAGTCGATATTTATTCTTTTGTTTTAACTTCCCTCTTAACCTATTTTGTTTCTGATTCTCTGCCAGTGACTCACATGGCCCAAGTATTATTCTCTCTCTCCTTGCTATAATTATACTAGTGAAGACTTTTTATATATAAACTAAAATGTGTAAAAGAAGCACAGATTTAAAGGTCTAATTCTTGGGGCATTAGAAATTCCAGAACACTACCTCAAATTGTAAATAATAACAGTGATTTCAGGCCGCTAATTTTAGTTGGCTTTTAGTCTTCACGTGATCATAGTGTTTCCATTTTATACTTTAATATGAAATAATATCCCTGTGAGGAAAATGCTTGTTATCATTTTAAGGTAGTATATTTATGACTTTGGCTTGTAATTGTTCAATACTTCCCTTTGCTTTGTTTCAGTTAAAGAAATGTATGACTATCAGGGCAGGTCCTATCTTCATATACCTCAGGATGTTGGTGTTAATCTGCGGTCAAGTATGCCACCCGAGAAGTGTTACCTTCCCAAAAAACAAATTCATGTTTGGTCTGGGCACACAAAGGTAAGGAAACTGGTTGTTTCTGCTTGCTGTAATGTATAATAGTGAAGCCAGCATAAAATTTTAGCTATTGATATGGAACATTCAATATTTCTGATAAAGATGTACAGAAATCAAGGTAGATCCAGGAAGTCAGATGAAAGATAAATCTGAGTTATTCACACATAACGGTCACAAGTGCCTCCACAGACTTCAAGGTCATCTGGATTAACCCTAACATACACCATTCATAACTTGGTATACTTTCCCCTTATGGTGGTCCGTGTTCTGCCCCCAACTTCCTGCCACAATCTGCATCCTTTTGGGCACCAGTGAGTAATGGGCTAATCCTAGCACCAAAACCTCAGTAATTTTGCCCTGTCTTTTGAGGTTATCACATTTCTAAAATTAGATTTCTCCCCCCTCCCCCCAGTTCATTTGCCATGGGAATATTTAAACTAATGCAAAATTAAATACTTGAAATTTTTTTATGTTGATATTCTTTGTTATCTTCACTATTCCAACTAATGATTTCCAACTATCAGCAAATTGCAAAGGAAGTGAGTACAAGCAGGAAGACGAGTGGTACATTAACAACTTGGTTGACTAAGAATTCCCTTGCGGGAGGAAGTCAGTATTAAAGGTCAAAAAATTCTTCAAAAGCTTATCGTCAATACAGATTGCTCTTGGAATACTAACAAGCTATTCTGAGGCAGATTTTTTGGATTGAAAGTCGTAATTAGATTGCTTTAAAAATACTGTCTTTTCCTGATGTTTAATTTTAACTGATACTTAGAGCACATTCTCACAGGGTGACCATAATGCTTTTCTCTAGGGTGTCAGTGCCGTCAGGTTGTTTCCTCTCTCCGGCCATCTATTGCTGACTTGTTCCATGGACTGTAAGATTAAGGTGAGTTTTCAGTAACAGATAGGAATGTCGTTTCAGTTAAATTTGCTTGATTAATTATAAATCGAGTTTTTTAGGCAATTAAAGGCTAATTATGTTTTCTGAAGCCTTGTGAATGGCCACAGTTTGTGAATTAATTCCAAACATGATTGAAATATGGCATTCTGCTCCAAATGGTTGAACTTTTCTGTAAGCTTAGATAACTGATTGCTGTGTTATCAGTCACTTTGGCTTTAGTTATATAGATATTAAATCATCAGTAACATATGTTTTTAAATTTTTTTGTATGTATAACTGGGTGCATTTGTTCCTCTGAACCTTATCCAGTAAAGAAGAAACATACTAAAAATCCTGTTTTTAGAGCAGATAAATATAATTTGTCCTTTTTCCGTTAAATGCTAGTAGACACTAAGCAGCAGAAATGCTTTCAGCCTTTTCTCCCACTTTTTATAAACTTGGAAAGTTCTACTATTAGCCTATGTCCAGCTCTAAAGTGTGTTGTCAGTACATGTCAACTTGACTAAAGGGCGAGCCCATTAAAAACAAAAAACAAAAAACATATATTTGAAAAAAATGTTCTTTTCTGGTATTTTCTGTATCCACATTGTTACAGTGGTCAATAAACAACAACACTAATGCTCTTAGGCCTAGAAAGTTGAATCACAAGAAGTTTACTGTTTAACATATCCATGTTAATAATTCATGGATATTAATGATATTTAAAGGTAGCTTCTTTTGATGAGAGCAGCCCTGCAGGCATTATTTGTTTCTAGTAGCTTAAAATGACAGACCAAGAGTTTTGAGTAAAAGCCCTTTTACCTTTAACTCTTACTTTATACAAACTGTTAATAGAGATTGAATCTTTTCTATCTTTTAAGGTTTAAATTCTTAGTTCATGTCTATAAACATTTTTTAGGGACCTATTTGAGCCAAGGGTTTAGGACAAAAAATTACTAAGGACTCTCTCCTTTCCCTTTCCTTTGATTATGAGGTAAATGAACATTACTGAAGGTATTCTGGTTTTTAAAAAGGAAGTGTGCTCAGTGTGGTTAGATAGCTGAAGTAAATTTGGATAGGGATTAGAGTATGTGTAAGAGGAGGAATGGCGTGAATTAGCATGGTATGTACTGAAAACTGCAAGCTTTGTGGTTGCTACAGTCTAGAACTGAGAGAGAGATTGGCTTCAGTTATAAGCCAGGGACCAGGCCTCAGGTTCTTGCCTGGTATGCTACAGGATGTGAGACTATCCCGTTGGCCCTGGTAGGCCAGGAAATGGCTTCTGTTATAGAGCACTAGCAGCATTGTCTGGGATTGGGTTTCAGGTAGGCAAGAATAAAGGTATTATGAAGGTATTGTATTAATTTACTTGAAATGTAATAAAAATTAAGTCTGCTAAGTCATGATCATTTTCACAGCACTTCAGTAATATTTGTTACTTTATAACAGTTAAAAAAAAACTTTACCAAAATGTATAAACTTGGTGGTTTCAATAACAATTATTTTAAAAGTACTCCTTAATATTACTTAAGTAGAAATTTTTATCTTATAGCAGTTACAGAAAACAAGAAATTAAATCACATATATGAAGTTCTTATAAGTTCTCATGATATTTTAATGTATCGTTAATATTGAACTTAAAAGTTCAGAGTGTGTATGTGTGTGTGAGTGTGTGTTCTAAATAGTGCAACACAGATGAACAATGCCAAGCAGTATGTTCAATGATGTGCAAAAGAAGTCTTTGCTGAAATGCCCTGTGCATACACAGATATGTAACCCTTGTGCATACACATCTCGGATAGGACTGTTGTTATTGATTGAAAGTTGTCATTTTATCAGCAAATTTAATATTGCCTTGTGTTGTTTCTTACTCAGTTATGGGAAGTTTATGGAGACAGACGCTGTCTACGAACATTTATTGGTAATACTTTTTTTCTCTCTGGCTATACTTTGTTTGACAAGACATTTTAAACTGAGATAACAACATTGACAGTTTCCTTCATACACTGGTATGAAGGAAAGGCTTCATAGACTTGAACTCAGTTTTGGACAGGGTATGTGTTCCCTTCCGTAAAACTCAAAGACAACTGGGGGAGAGTGCAGCAAAAGCAAAAGCAGTGTAAGAAAACTGCTTTGGGAGACCACATACACTTTAAAATTACATAGGAATTAGATGTGATAAGAAATTAAAGTGGGGGGAAACTATAAGGGTGCAGGGGCAGAGGATGGAAAACACAGTGTGCCACTAATTAGCAGCTTAAACTCTGTCCTGAGGCCCTTGGGAGGCCAGCCATTAGGCAGTTCTTGAACGAAAGCAAAATATATTACAAAGTTATTTCATTTGTCTAGAATAAAAATGATGAAAGCCTGAACTAAATTAGCAGAGAAAAGGAAAAGAATACTCAAGAGTTAAACTCAGTGGGATTTAACAGCTGGATGTGAGTGGTAACAGTCAGGCAGGAATCCAGAGTGACGCACTGACTGCGTGAATGGTGATGCCATTCATCAGGGGAAGGAACAGAAGGAGATGACAGTTCACACTGGTTGAATGTGAACTACCTTTGTGACACTGAGATGGAAATGTCCAGTAAGAATTAGATAGCCAAATATTGAGCTTTAAAGAGAGATTGGGACTTGGCGACTAAAGCATATAAAAGGATGAGACAGAATTCCTTGGAGGAAAAGAAAAGGAGAGAAACAGCTCGTGGCATACTAGCCTTTTTGGTAGAAAATCACTTTATTCTCTGTCAGATTTTGTGCTGAGGGAAGTTACGTTTCCAAATTTAACTGTACCACACTGAAACACTACTTGTGTGCGTCGTAGTGGCTGTTTTTAGATTCAAGTGGGAGTCCGTTCTGCAGTGCTTTGCTGTGATTTTAGGACCTCACTACACAAGTGAACACTGTCCAAGATGCAGCTTAGAAGACTTGTGGGGAGGCTTCCAGCAACTGCAGGAAAACAAAATGTCTCCTGCAGTGGTAGTGGAGTTGGTCCCTACCTGTTTCCTTGGCACTCATAGTTTTTTCCCGTGGAAATCTGAAAATTGCCTGCTAAGACCAATGATAACTGCTCTGATTGGAACTCCTTCTGTAGAAAATTCCCACTTGCCTTGGCATATGCTGCCTAACTAGAGCTCATGGGCACAAGGCTTCTGTGTATAGTGGGCAGTCGGTGCCAGGGGCATCCGCACAGCCCTTGGCTGTGTTGGTGATGGTAGGGTAGTGAAAAATAGAGAAGTTTCCGTTTTCATTTAGCCACATGTATTTGTCCCTATAGTATTCTGATGTCCGGCAAAGTTGATTTCCAAGCAGAGCACCTTAAAATTAACACCACAAGCCCATCATAAAACAAAACGGAAATTAATAATAATTTCCAAAAAGACTTGCTCTCTACACTTCTCAATACATTTCTATGAAATTTGGCAGTACACAATTATTGACAAGAGTTACATGAACTTTAAGTCACTTTGTTTTCATTGCCATCTTGGTGAGTAATCAAGTGAAACTTCATGTGCTGCCAGTCAGTTCTTTTACTGGCAGTAATTTGCCTATTGTGTTTCCTTGAGTTCTTGACTATACAGTCATTGGTTGTATGTATTCCATGTTAAGAAGTTGTCATGAGAAACTTAAAGAAAAAATCTTTTTGGTTGGCGCTTAGCTAAATGTTAAGCATCTGAATCATGTGAGAAAAAAAATACCAGCTACATTCCCAAGCCTACACATAAACAAATCCTGAGTCAGTAAATAAGAAAAGGGGGTTCTAGTGATTTTGATTTACAGCATGTTTTGAAAAGCACTGTTTAATGCTTTTTCTGTTATCCTTAAAGAGGTATTCCACTTCACTGTCATTTCCATTGTCTCTGTGTTTAGGTCACAGTAAAGCTGTTAGGGACATCTGCTTTAATACCGCAGGAACACAGTTCCTCAGCGCAGCTTATGACAGGTATCTTAAGCTCTGGGACACTGAGACAGGTAAGAGCTCACTTACACCTATCATTTTACAAATTAGCATTTGTTAGGTCCTCCCTAGTAGCCCAAGGATTAAAGCCCCAGTGCTACAATCTATCAGCAGCCACTGTGACATGAATTCAATCCCTGGCCAGAGAGCTGACCCACATGGCACAGCAAACCTCTCCTGTCTCACCGGCTGCTCCCCTTAGCAGTGTATTTCAGTAGATCTGCCTGTTCTATTCTCTACTGTCTCTGGTGAGTCCTCTCACCCCGTACACCTCTGGCCTACACCCCAAATTTATTTGTTTGCATAAATAAATCTTTAAATAATAATTAGAAATTAGCATTTATAGATGAAACAATCTATTCTATGATAAAATACTTTATTGATTCTCATGTCATGGCCTATCAGCTAGTATCACAAATGTTTAGAGTTGAAATTCAGCTTATATAAGTAGCTCTTTCATTATAAAACTGTTTCCACCAATTGCAATATAGCAAGGATGTTTTTATTCTAATATCACCTCTCATTTTGTATTCAATACAACCACAGTAAATATCTGATGAACAGAATTATATTTAATTATCCAGGTTAATTAAGATGTAAGTCTAAACACATGGGTTAGTGGTTTATCTGATCACAGATATATTAAATGCATAGGCACATTGTGGCTAGTCTAATGTAATTAAAGAACCATCTCTTGTCTTACCAAGTTTTAATGGTAAAAAGTTAACCGCTAACATATGTTGAATATTTACGATTAGCAGGCATTCTGCTAAATAAGCTAGGTATCTTATTCAAACTTTAAAAACTACTTTTATTATTATAAATGAGAAAACTGGTCTCAAAAAGGTAACATTTACAGTGTCACATGGTGGCAAATTATATTATAACCACAGCCTCTCATATTTTCAGCCTCTTTACCATTGATTGTGAACTCTGGCTGCACGCTGCAGTTACCTGAAAAGCTTGATGTATTCTACAGTTGATGATACAGATTTGCTTTAGAAAAGATTATTTGTGATCATTAGAAACCTAGAAAATGAGCAGTCTAGTTTACAGTAAAGATAAGCCAGTTGCCCTTCCTCGAAGTGTGCTATGCAGATTGTCTCACGCTCTTCATCCCAGGATTGTCATTCAACCTGGTGTCATATTTATTTTACCTGCTTTAACTTGGATATTTGGGTTTAGGACAATGTATCTCAAGATTTACAAACCGAAAAGTACCCTATTGTGTCAAATTTAATCCTGATGAAGATAAGCAAAATCTCTTTGTGGCTGGGATGTCTGATAAAAAGATTGTGCAGGTAAGTGCTTTCATAGCAATTTATTAATATTCCATGCAGGGAGTGAATAAAGACTATTAACTTGTTTAAAGTTTGCTACTTTGGGGGACTGCTAATACTCTATTCTTAGTAAACCTATAAAAATAATGCTGAAGATACTTTCTTTCTCCACTTTTCATAATTATGCTTAGTTCATTTTCATGAATTACTCAATCTGTCTATTCCTGTTGTCTTGTTTGACAAACAGTGGGACATTCGCAGTGGAGAAATTGTACAGGAATACGATCGGCATTTGGGAGCTGTCAACACCATTGTTTTTGTTGATGAGAATAGGAGATTTGTGAGCACATCTGATGATAAGAGCCTAAGAGTTTGGGAATGGTAAGTTTCACTGAGTAGAAAATCTGATTTACATAAAGCAAGCAGTTTCAAAATCTGTAGCTGAAGACAGAGTCTGATGATATGCAGCCACTTGAAAATTTGCCAAACACTTTTAACCTTTAAGTATCCAGAATATGGAAATAATGTAAACATGCCACCTTCCAAAGTCTTTGCTAGTCTGTTTAAAGGATATATATTTTGAGTCACCTTTCTTACAGTGGTGGAAAGTTTACATTGTGCTCTCTTACATTTTTTATCATTTATCTTATTTGTCTTTGCAAAATGACTGATGAGAAATAGAGGCCACAGGTGCTGGAAACAGGTGCTGATCTCAGAACCAACCCTAAGAAAGCATTGAAATGACATTGACTCTGAAAATACTCTTAATTTTTAAAATATCTCTCCATTATCATTACCCAGAACTGAGAATTGTTCCTGTCTCCTGTCATTTGCAGCCTATGAAAATAGAAAACAGATGTTTTACTTGTAGAATAGAATCAGAACTTATTAATTTTGCTTTCCTAGAGAAAAAAATTTTCTTAAAGTACTAAAACTACTTTTACTAAGTATCATAAGTCATGTCTTATAATTTATTTGCAAAGAATTGCATAATAATTTTTTGTTGTTAAAACAAGTGTTTGGAGGAAACCCAGCTTGTTTTATAGTGAGTTCTGAAGCACAGTTCAACCATGGCTACTGACTTGCGAGGGACTAGAAAATATGTCTTCCCACACCCCGATGCTCTTCTCCTTTAAAGTAGGAGGCTTTAAACTACAACCAGTACAACCTCCTAAAATTGGGTGCCTTTGAGGAGCTGAGCAGATTGCTAAACCTCATTGGGGTAGCTTGGGTAATTAAAGATTTAATGTAATCTAATTATAGTTTCTCCCACACTCACCACTACTACCACCCTTCAAATTACCCTCAATTCATGGATAGTTAATGATACTCAAATACAGTCTTATCATCCATTAAGTCTGTAGTTTAAGACTGTCTCATAGCCAAACTTTTCTTCAGAAATGAGATTATATACAGAGACTGATATGGACACTAAATTTTACATAAGGTACCTTACCTCATTTGCATAATTCTCTGGAAAATAAACATACATATACTTGGTTTGTTTTATATTTTTTAACAGTTTGGTTATACTTAAAACTTTCCGATGTTTCTACAGATATTTTAGCTTCGTTTTAAAATAAGGAGTGGTGTAAAAGAAATTGGTAAATAATTAAATGATGTACCAATTACAGTGCTTTAAGAACACTTTAAGAAAATTGTGGATGTTTTCTTAAGTGAAAGTTGGTCTGCAAAATATTTTGATTAAATAAAGAAGTGTGTTTCTTTTTGTCCTTTTCAGAGCTTAAGATTTCTCCTAAGAGTAGTAATATTTGTGTCATTATAAATGATGACTTCCTTTACAATTTAGTTTCTCATTTACTTTGGAGTCTCCCTAACCAATCCTCACATGAAAATAGGCTCCTTATTTCTGTCTTTCCATGCTCCTTTTTGCTTTCTACAGCTTTTAGCATCCTATTTTTAGTGCTTATTTATCTCTTCCTCTCCCCTGACAAATTCTGAGAGATGGAACACTGACAGAAGGAACTGTGTCAGCCTGTTGTCCATCTTTCCCATCACCGGCACAGTCCTGCACATAGCATGCACTGAATAGCTAAAGAAATGTTTGCTATCCTAATTATAAGTGATGTTACATTCATTGAACCACTGAGCATTTTATATGAACTGTTGCATTTGATATGCAAAGGAATCTTATGAGATGGGTATGTTGGCTGTCCCTATAAGTGTATGGCATAATTCTCACCATCAATTAGCAAATGGATTGATAGATGGATGGATAGAGGGTCTATTGGGAAGAGAAATTAACTTATATCCAGTTTGATTAGTCAGAAAACAAAAAAATGTGATGATCAGTCTTGTAACAAAGTAGGAAGCAGAACCCTTCAGGATCCTTGGAACTGTCCCCACTGAAGGAAAAAAAAAAAAAAAAAAAAAAAAAAAGACCTCCCTGAAAGCCAATTACTGATGATACTGGCAGCTTGCATAGGGCAGGAAGGGAAGTCCTGACCACCTCAAAGACAGAACTGACCCCAGTAGGAAGAAAGTTATCAGTGGGGTCTTCAGACAAGTGAAGTTTCTGGACTTGCTTACAATAAATAACTCAGTGATAAAAAAAAAAAAAAAGGGCAAACCAAAGGAAACTAACTTGGTTTTCTAAAACATTGCTACAAAGCTTGAAACTATTACTCTTTTAAAGAGTAATACTGAGTAGCCTGAGGTATTCAAATTGGCTAACTTCATGAACTGTCATGTTTTCTCTTTATTTTGTTAAAATACTCTTTAAAGAAAATTTTGCAGAGGTTGACTGTATTTTCTATCTTTAAATTTTTATGGATGATTATTATATTTTGGGATTTTTTTTGATGATTTTTTAGACTGAAGAGCAATCGTAAGATATGTTACTATATTGATAGTTTATTATACTAAATTAATTTCTAACTGAAAAATAGCATTGTATTTATTAAATGCAGCTATGCCTAGCAGACATTTTTGCTAAAAGTAACAAAGTCCACAGGACAGATTCATTTCTCATTCTGGAGCTCATTGTATTAAGAGCCTTTGAAATAAAGGTCTGTTTACATATTTGTTTAGTTCTTAGTGCAGAGACTGTTAGGAGTCCAGAACTTTAGAAAAAGTTTTTATGTTTTACTCCACATTATAAAATTATTAGACACGAGTGGCAAATATGAGGAAGAACAGCTGAACTTTATATATATATCTATATATATTTTTTTTACATCATTGTTAATTTTTGTACAGTGTTTAATTTCTCTCTGGTGTAGTCCCTGTAAAATTCCTGCCACCACCAGTTCACCCATGAACCATTACCACAGTCTCTTGCACTTGCCCCACCTGTTTTAATCCCTCATCTTCCCCTTCCCCTGCAAAATGTCTCCAATTTGTAGTTGCCTACTAATTTGGTCCTTTTATTAATATTTTTTTCCTGATCCTTTACTTGGTTCCCCTATATTCATCCTATAAGTGAAACCATGCAGTATTTTTTTTCCTTCTGACTTATTTCACTGGGCATAATCCCTTTCAGCTCCATCCATGTTGCTACAAATGGCAGGAGTTTATCTTTTTTTGATTGCTAAATAGTATTTCATTATGTGTACCTACTACCTCTTCTTGATCCAGTCATCTATTTTGGGCATTTGCATTGTTTCCATATCTTACCTATTATAAATAGTGCTGCAGTAAACATAGTACAGGCTTCCTTTCAAGTTAATGAAAAACAGCTGAACCTTTTTCAGACTGAGGCTCTTTTAAACATTTAGGTCATTCTGCATATCAGTTCTCATTGATACCTTAGAAGTTTAAGGAGTTAAGAAATTTAACAAATAATACTATTTCCAGGTTAGACCTGGAGTATTTTTTTCTCTGAGACCAGGTAGAATTTATTCTAATCTTCTATACCTTCTTCTGGGTGGTTAAATAGAGCAAATTCTGACACAAAGGTGGACTATTACCACTATTATTGTGGTTTTCCAATTAGTCAGAGTATTAGAACGTGAGCCATAGTTTGAAATAAAAATTGCTGCTTTATGTTCTACATTCATCAAATTACATTTTTCTATTAAAAAAAAATTTTCTGGTTTCATGGAAAGCAGTAAGACTGGGCCCTCCCTGGTGGCGCAATGGGTAAGGACGCAGCACTGCAAGCTGGTACCATCCACTTCAGTGCAAGTTCCAGCCCCAGCCCCAGCCGGAAGTGACCCACATGGCGCTGCAGACCTCTCCTGACCCGCCTGCTGCTCCCCTCAGCAGTGTACTTCATCATTGGGCCTGTTCTGCTCCCCATTCTGTCTCTGGTGAATCCTCTCACCGCCCCTGTATCTTTGGCCTTTACCCCAGTTCTGTATGCACAAATAAACAAATCTTTAAAATAAAGAAAAGCAGCAAGACTAAAATCATTCAGTTCAGAATTAGTAAAGATTTTTTTTATCATGAAGAATTTAAAAATGAAAAGACACTGAACTTCTGATGGTTCTAGATTTAGGTGAACAGTTTTGGATTTTTGTATCATTCACATGAGGGATTTTTTTTTTCATGCTTTTTCTCCTGCCCCATACACATTTGGAACACATTAAATGTAAACTGAAAACAGAAAACTGCCTGGGTACCAAGCATTTGAGTCCCCTTACCCATCCAGACATCACATTTTCTTGGGGTGGGCTGGGCGCTAGGCGTGCTTGCAGAGAGCAAGCTAAGCCTGACTGGTAGGTAAAGTAAGCAAACTTCCCTGTAGGTTTGCCTTAGACATCTTCTGCCTACCCTGCTACATTTTTAGATAAAAATTAAAGAACTTTTACTTCTTTTACGTTTGTTTTTTTTTTTTAAAGATTTTATTTATTTGTGCATACAGAACTGGGGTACAGGCCAGAGGCTCAGGGGCAGTGAGAGGACTCACCAGAGACAGAGTGGGGAGCAGAACAGGCAGATCCACGAAGTACACTGCTGAGGGGAGCAGTGGGCGGGTCAGGAGAGGTCTGCCACGCCGTGTGGTCACCTCCGGGGCAGGTGGGAATCGAACTCATGCGGAAGTGGCTTAAGCTTCTTAGTGCAGTGCTTTAACTGCACCACCAGGGAGGGCCTCTTTTACTGTTTTTAATAATAGACTTTTTAATATGAAGGACAGTTTAAACCAAATAAAGAGAAAACTAAGTTTGCCAGTGTTTTAATTATGGAAAGGTATTTGTAAAGTCAAAGATGGCTAACTGTAGGATGTCATCTTAGGATTTTCCTCCTTCTAGGAAGTTTGATAAAGGATTTCTTAAACAGATAATTTTCAAGAATACCACTTTTGTTTCAAAGGTAATTCTTCTAAAGATGCTTTTGAAAAACCACTAACTCTGATGTGTTTTTTTTAATTTTTAGGGATATCCCTGTGGATTTTAAGTACATAGCAGAACCCAGTATGCACTCAATGCCTGCAGTGACTTTGTCTCCAAATGGTGAGTTAGTAGAAAGAATGTGTTTTTCAGTGAGCTTCTAAGACATTTCTGATTTGTATATTCAAAAGAACCTTGGCCATTCTCTCCTAGGGGAGATTTGTCACAGTGCCAAACTTATATAAGGAAATCTTTTCAGTGCTAGAAATAATCACTAGTTTTTGTATATGAGTCATCTCACCCTTTCTCCTCTTTCTAAAAAATATAAAGTGAAAATTAGGAAAACCATTATTTGCAGTTAACATACTGACCATCTAAGGATTTCCATCTGAGAGTTTGGGTTGCTTTATTTTAAATCTCATTCTCACATAATAATGTTTGACACTCATTTAGTGATTTATTGTGTTTTCTTTCGAGGGGTGGGAAGTTTTCACCGCCTGATATCCTGTAATGATAGCAATTCACTAGAAAAGATTTCCTCCAAAATAAATCAACACAAAATAAAAAAGATATCTATTTCTTCTATCAGTACCTCTGCCACAGGCATCTTGTTGATTGTTTCACAAATGTCCTATGATGTACCTGGGTGTTATTTTCATAATCACCCCATTTAGTACTTTATCACATGGTCACTGCATCTGTAGTTCATGTGTATTTTTAAGCCATCTATTACAAATACTATGGCTTTCTTGAACAAGCCCAGTAGGACTGATAGTTGTTAGGATCACTCTTACTTAGCAGCATCTACGAGTAGGTAAGATGCTACTGTAAATTCAGCTTAGATTCTAGGTCTTTTGGCACATCCTGGGTAGTTAAGAGCAGAGTGGTCTTTCCACAACATACTAGAGTTTTTGATCACATCTTGTATTGTCATTTATTTAATAATTCTAGGTTTTCTGACAGGGTAGTTAAACTTTCCTTTTTACAGAATTAACAGAAATAAGTCTCTTTCTTGCCATGTTTCTGTTGTCTATACTTAACTGCAAATTTTTATTTCATGAAATTATAGTTTAGTTCTATAATACTTGTAACAATCCACAAGTGGTATGGTAAATTCGTTATTCTATTGTGAAGTAGTTGGGAATAGGAGAATATTAATGACTAAAACATACTTAAAATGCCTTTTAAATTTTTTCAGCTTTCTTTAAAACATCTCACTTAATTGAATTTACAGGAAAATGGCTAGCATGCCAATCCATGGACAACCAAATCTTAATTTTTGGAGCACAGAACAGATTTAGATTAAATAAGAAAAAAATCTTTAAGGGCCACATGGTAGCAGGCTATGCTTGTCAGGTGGACTTCTCACCAGACATGAGGTAAGTTTAAATCTCCTATTCTCATATTCAAATATGACAAAAGCTACCATTGTCCGTATAACACTACACATGACCTTCATATCTGTATGAGAAGTATGTAGACTGTCAAAGTATATACTGTAAAAAGGACGAACAAGCTATGAAAAGTATGCTTTTCTTTTTATTAAGTTAAGTTCTGCAGTGTATCTCCTTGGTGCTTCATCTGTGCCCTGTGGCGACATCATAAATCCCACATGCAGACAGTAACTTATTCTCTTTCCGCTTCGCTATGGAAGGCTAGGAGGGTTGTAATTTCTATGTTGCTGTGATTGAATGAGTACAAGAATTAATTTTGTATTGCCAATGTAGAACTTCACTTCAGCTTTTATGTGTTGAAACCTCAAATTCAACTTCTGCATATTTCTGGGATACTAGGTTTGTGAAGCCCAGAGTCTTTCTAAGAATGAAATACAACATTCATACTACTTACATTAAACATACTGATGTAAGTAGTTCAGAAATCACAGTCACCTTATATATTTAGCCTGGCAGTGGGTCTTAGACTCCTATCTCTAGATAGTCTTAGCCTATTCAAAAGATGTTGGACCCAAAAATTTAGGAAGCTGCTAGTCTGTAGCTCTAATGTGGTCATTGGCTCTTTGTGACACTGGTTCCTGTCGACAGTCTCTGCCTGAGGGGTTACAATGCTGCGCTGCGCTGCCATGGCTCCTGCGTCTCCCAGGCTCCAAGTTAAAAATTTTCATTCTCTACAATTGGTGACTAAATGGGGAGAATTTTTCTGATAGCTTAAATTACAGATTGCTTTGTGCGCTATTCTCATTGAGTATTTTATACTGATGTTGATTTTTTTTGTTCACTAGAAGTGAAAACAAGTACTCTTTCTCTAGCTTAAAATTTTTGAATAATTTGAACTTATTTTTCTTCCCATATAGCTATGTGATTTCAGGAGATGGAAATGGAAAATTAAATATCTGGGACTGGAAGACCACAAAACTCTACAGTCGATTTAAAGCACACGATAAAGTGTGTATTGGTGCAGTGTGGCATCCTCATGAAACATCTAAAGTGATAACGTGTGGCTGGGATGGTCTCATTAAATTGTGGGATTAATGAGATTAGCCCCTAAACTATCCAGGATTATTTTTGATCCGGCATCATATTTAAATATATGTAATTAAATGTGTTGAATGACAACTTGATTTATAGATTGTGATTTCCTTATACTGCCTTACGAAGTTGTCCCATTGTTTAAAAAAAAAAAGGAAAGCTTTGTAAATTTGGCTCATATAATTTCATTGGCAACTTCATTTTGGTTTTTGTAAGTGCAATTTATACAGAATGACCACTGACTTCTATCTGATCAGTTGTTATTGTTGGTAGGCAATTTGAATTTATCCTCATAAAACACTGAAAGGATACCTTTGAAGTCAAGAGAGAATCCCTAGTCAATTTGGCTTCTACAAGAGGGAATAGAATTAATGACTCAAGAAAAGTACTATATACTTACCTCCTCAGCAGAAAGGGCCATAAAAAACAAGGATGGTTTCACTTAATACAAATCTGAAAGGTGTGGAAGACCACCCACAGTTACTGTTCCCAATATTTTTAGTGGGTCAAGTTCTAACCTTTTGGATTCAGAGTTCCACTATTTTTTGTGACATATGTATTTTTTTATTGTAAGCCAGCAATTGTCTTTTGTTGCAGCATTCCTCAAATTATTAACTAGTGTAAAATAAAAATCAGTCCGGAGTACTTTCCTTGATTTTCTTCCTGATCAGCATAGACAGCACTATATATATATTTAAACCAGAGAATTACACTATTTTTGAAGATGGAACTCAAAAATGAGCCAAGACTTTGATTATTATTTGTACTTGCTGTCAGTGAGGACCTGGCTACACTTTCTAGAATCAGGGTCTCTTAGGTCATTGCTTCACAGATGTTACTACTGAAATACTCCTCATAGGAGATAAGAGTATGAGGGCATAGTCCAAAATGTCATCTTTTAATTTCTTTGAAGTTGTATGCTTTATCTTTAAAAGTACTGGTTTTGCTTACGAATATATTCAACAGAATTTACTAAGAGAAATTTTTTAACTTTTTTCCATATCTTTTAGTAAAATTCACACTCTAGGAAGATGGGTAGAGTTTCCCAGTTTAGGAAGCAGTGACTGTGGTTTGAAAGTAAAGCTTAAAATCTTTGAACTCAAAATAGCCTCCTGAACATAGTAACTACTAGCACTTTAGTGTGACAAGCCATTTCTCCTGTTTTATTACAAATCTATGTCAGATGTCTTAATGTGGTTTGAAATATCTCGGTACCATGCTAAAAGAAGTTTGGCTCATAGCCTCTCAGAGTGCTGAGTTGGAGACCAAAATCATGTTGCGTGTTGAATCCTGAGGGCATCAGCTCTGATTCCTGTGCTCGCAATTATAGGTCTTGCCCCTTGCCCTTAGAGAACGTCCCCCCCCTTTTTTTTTTTAATTGAAATTAAAACAAAGGGGAGCCTGGTATAGATGACCAGGTGCTATTGCCTATAAATAAATATCAAAGAAAAAAAATAGTAAAAGAGAATAGAAGTGGTAGAGAAGTATTTTGGAACAGGCACGCAAAGACGTAAAAATATACTGCCTGGCTGCTGCTGTGCTGTATCTGCCAGGAAGAGTGACTGCAATTTCCTATGGAGCAAAGAATTCCTTTCTTTAGTCCCAACCATAGGTTTTAACAAATGTGAATCATTGAAATGTGATGGGACAAAGAATCAGACATTTAAATTATCTGTTCAGCATCAGTATTGTATGTGTTAAATCCTAATTTCTAGATCTGGGTTTATTTTGTTGTGTTTTTGACTGTTTCTAAAATAAGTAACTGTATATAAGTCTTCTTTTTTTAAAGATATTTTTAATAAAGTGTTTTTTGCAGAATGTGTTATCAAAATTTTTATTCTTAGTTTTCTTTAAAGTCATAACTCTTTTAAAACACCAAGTTATATCACATGCAGATTTTAAATGGGAAATTTGATTTTATGGGGAGAAAAGATGCTTTAGCACTGGCTATGGGATGTTAATATGGGATATTAAGGGGTCAGTTCTAATTAAGTAGAAATATAGGGCAAAGCCTTCAGAGCGTACATTAAGTTTAACACATTCCTTGTTTACGTGGTGGTTGCCCTAAATCAGGATTGTACCCGTTTTGAAATTACACAAATGACTGGGATTCTTTCCAGTATAAGAGTTTCAAGGTCATGTTATTGCAACTAAATGGTTATTATCTGGTTCCTTTTTCTCACTACAACCTGTGGTCACACCCAATACAGATATCCTTCCTCAAAGCAATGCTTTAGGGAAGGACTTAATTGAGTGGGTATTTAAATGCGGAAGCTTAAGTTGGGAATATTTTGTCCTAATGGGGACCTCATTTTAAGATAACAGGGAATAACTTCAACCAGGCACTTCTCTAAATGGAATGGTTCTTGAGGATACGCTGTGACGCTGGCTACTGTTGGCTACTGTCCTTAGCATGTTTATAAATAACCTGGAGAAAATATTGACAGTAAAATAAATATGACAGCCATGAGGATGGCAACACTAGCAATAACCATAGAGACTCTCCTTGAAGAACAGTATTGTCAGAATACAGACTGAGAACCATCTGCATCAGAGAGACCTAGGGATGGCATCACTTAGAGAGATGGGATTCGGATGACAGGTTAGTTGAGGGAGCCATAGCAACTTCAGCTATGAGAAAAGGAAGGGTGGGGTGGCATCCAGGGCAAGATATCAGCAGTATTAAGTTTGGGTCTCAAGGTGAGGCAGAGGGAACACATGTTATGTTCCATCAAAGATACGTACTTGTCACTTTGCCATCTGAAATACCTTAAAAATCAATGATGTCATAGTTTATATTCTTCGTGAATCATTAATGAACTGTATTGCAGACAAAGTGTCATAGCACTTCCCCAAAATTCATTCTTTCACCTGTTTCTTTCAGCTAACAAAAGAGTACAATTTAAAACAGTTTTATATATATATATGAAGATGTATGAATTCACTCACTGGAAAACGTATTACGAATTCAGAATTCTGGTTCCCGGCTCAGGTTTCCCAAATTAAAGTAAGCACTTACAGCAAGGTCCCCGCAGTCAGGATGAGGACCAGTGGAATCTTGTATTTCAGAAACTACGCTGTCGAGTACACGTAAACTCAAAAATTGAGCCAACCAAAAGTATATGTGCTTGTATATGTGTATCTACGATGTATGCTTGTGAATGTATGTATATAAACACCTATATTCATAGTTTAGTAATCGTAAAAACAGTACTCTCAAACATTGCAATTTTGGGCCTCCTTGGTGGTACAGGGGTTAAAGTCAGCACTATCAAGCACTATCATATCTTTTTAAAATTTAAAAATAATTCAGCCACCGAAACCTGAGTTCAAACCCCAGCAAGGAGCTAATAGTACAGCAGACCTCTCCGTCAGGCCCACTGCTGTCCTCTGCAAGGTCCCCGCAGTCAGGATGAGGACCAGTGGAATCTTGTATTTCAGAAACTACGCTGTCGAGTACACGTAAACTCAAAAATTGAGCCAACCAAAAGTATATGTGCTTGTATATGTGTATCTACGATGTATGCTTGTGAATGTGTTTCCATAGGTCAGCCTGTTGTGGTCCCCACACTGTCTCTAGTGAATTCTCATACCACCCCCTACAACTCTGGCCACCCTAGTTTCTGTATGTATAAGTAAAAAATCTTTAAAAAAAAAAAAAAGAAATTGTAATTTTAGCAAGAATTTAAAAGAAATCACAAACTTGTATCCAGAGCCCTTAGATGGCTTTGATTTTAGTGACAGAGAAAGTGAATTCCTTTATACAGCTTCCAGTAGCTATCTTCAGCTGAATTTTTAACTCCCCATACCTTCCAGCATCTAAGCTCTGGAAAACTAACTTAAACATCAAACATTTTGATTTAAATAGATGTTCTACTCTCATATTGCCCAACAGAAATATGTGAGTCATATACATTATTTTTAATATTGTCATGGCCACAGTTTTAAAGGGAGCTTAATATATTTAACATTTAAAATAGTCTAAATATTTTCTTTTTTTATATCAGGAGCTCAGAGAATTGGAAAGCAAATGAAGACGTTGCATCAAGAAAAGTGAAGACCACAAAGTGCAGGGCACTTAAAGTTGTTTGACTAATTTAAGTTAAATCTGGCCCCTTGCAGGGTGGCTGTAGTCTTGATCTGATTTACTCAAGGACAGTAATATTGGACTAAATTGTACCCCGTTTGTTTTATTCAAAGACAGTACTGTATAACTAAATGCTATTTTGCTTTGAGCACTAAGTTCCAAACACCCCTATTGCTTGAACAGCCCGCTGGTCCATACAGAATCCAGAGCATGCACAGTTTATTTCCAGGCTCATTAGCATACTAAAGTCTTCCCCCAAGGGAGGCGCTGGGTCACCATTTTCTGACCATGCCATGTTTGTGGACCCATGAATTACCTCCAGGCAGGCCAGCACCTCCTAATACCTCCAACAGCAAACATGGAAGGACTTTTGTCTCACTTTGGCCTTCCTTTCTTTTCAAAACCCTTTCAAGCCCCTTTTCAAGAAGGTAACCTGTGGGAAGTTGGCCCTTATTGCCTCAGCAATACATAAATAATTAACTGCTCTTCCTCTGGTCTACTGGGTACACTTCTGAGTGGTGACTCCTTAAGTTCAGTAACACTAAGCCTTTGAAAGTCTGGTATATTTTACACTTAGCAGTACAACTTTACCAGATACTAAATTTTCATCATATTTTCCATACAAAGAAGTTTTCTAATAATTGAATCAATCATCTTTTTAAAATTAAATTGTTTAAAAATATAATTTAGGGCCCTCCCAGGTGGTGCAGAGGGTTAAAGCACAGCACTAAGGAACTAAAGCCACTTCCGCATGAGTTCAATTCCCGCCTGCCCCGGGAAGTGACCACATGGCAGCACAGACCTCTTCTCACCCGCCCGCTGCTCCCCTCAGCAGTGTATCTCATCAGTCAGCCTGTTCTGCTCCCCACTCTGTCTCTGGTGAAGCCTCTCACAACCCCTGCACCTCTGGCCTGTACCCCAGTTCTGTATGCATAAATAAATAAATCTTTAAAAGTAATAATTATAATTTAAAAATCAGTTATATTGGGAGTGCTCAACAGCCACACATGGCTAATAACTACCATATTGCCTATAGTTCTAGTATTTTACATTATAGAAGGTCACAGAGATAATTTTTCTTCATCTTCTGGAAAACATTCTAAGGTTCAAACTCATGTTCGATAGCTCACCAAAAAAAATGG